CCAAAACCGCCCTGCCGCCTCCCACCCAGGTCACGGCTGACCAGGGTTGGCAGCCGCCGCCTTGGAAAGGCCTCCGAGGAGCAGGGCAGGGCGAGGGGCGGTGATGCCCTGAAAAGCCAGAATTGAAGACTCAGTAGTTGGAAGACTATCTATAGTTTATTTTTCTCAAGTTGCATCAGGGGAGGTTGAGATGGGATATTAGGAAAAATTTCTTTATTGAAGAGTGGTCAGGCATTGGAACAGGCTGCCCAGGGCAGCGGTGGAGTCCCCATCCCTGGAGGTGTTCAAAAAATGTGTAGATATGGCACTTCGGGACATGGTTTAGCAGGCATGGTGGTGTTGGGTTGATGGTTGGACTTGATGATCTTAGAGGTCTTTTCCAACCTTAATGATGCTATGACTATTAAGCAGGTATTCTTTATTACTGTGCCCAGCACATGGGGGATCTCTCCTCCAAACATGCGCGCCAAACACCCTGCCATGTCAGGTTAAATACAATCACTATATACATATTCATTATATTTCTGAGAAATGCTTATCATATTCATGGCTTTTCCAAGAACTACTTAGCATATATTAATGTCTTTCACACATGCCTGTTAGCATCCTCGGGTGGCCTTTGGGGGTCTTAAGATGAAGGCTTGTACTCTTCATCACAGTGTCCACCGGTTGGCCTTTGTTTCTGCGCAAACTCAGCTCTAAGATCGCGTGTACCGTGTCCTTCCAGGTTGCTTTGCTCTGGTCCTTGTGCCCTCTCGGTGCCTCCCTGCCCCTGTGGCTTGGTGCACCTGCCCTCCCGAGGCCAAATAACATTATTTAGGAGTCTCTCTCTCTGAGAGCCTTCCTACCCCCCCCCTACAGCCAGTCACGTTTCTCTAAGTGGTGTTAATTAAGAGCCTCTTAGCGCTTTCCTGCCTTCTCACAACATCCAGGATCTACCCTAGTTCAATTACAGGCACTCCCGTTAGTGGAACTTCCGCGCTTACGGGTACCAGCGGCCCCGAATGCCGGCCGAACCCCCTCGGAACCCG